TGATAATGAGTGATGTTGAGCATCTCTTCATGTGTTTGTTAGCCATCTGTATGTCTTCCTTGGAGAAATGTCTGTTCAGTTCTTTGGCCCATTTTTTGATTGGGTCATTTATTTTTCTGGAGTTGAGCTGGAGGAGTTGCTTGTATATTTTTGAGATTAATCCTTTGTCTGTTGCTTCGTTTGCTATTATTTTCTCCCAATCTGAGGGCTGTCTTTTCACCTTGCTTATAGTTTCCTTTGTTGTGCAAAAGCTTTTAAGTTTCATTAGGTCCCATTTGTTTATTTTTGCTTTTATTTCTAAAATTCTGGGATGTGGGTCATAGAGGATCCTGCTGTGATTTATGTCGGAGAGTGTTTTGCCTATGTTCTCCTCTAGGAGTTTTATAGTTTCTGGTCTTACATTTAGATCTTTAATCCATCTTGAGTTTATTTTTGTGTATGGTGTTAGAAAGTGTTCTAGTTTCATTCTTTTAAGGTGGTTGACCAGTTTTCCCAGCACCACTTGTTAAAGAGGTTGTCTTTTTTCCATTGTATATCCTTGCCTCCTTTGTCAAAGATAAGGTGACCATAGGTTCGTGGATTTATCTCTGGGCTTTCTATTCTGTTCCATTGATCTATATTTCTGTCTTTGTGCCAGTACCATACTGTCTTGATGACTGTGGCTTTGTATTATAGTCTGAAGTCAGGCAGATTGATTCCTCCAGTTCCATTCTTCTTTCTCAGGATTACTTTGGCTATTCGAGGATTTTTGTATTTCCATACAAATTGTGAAACTTATTTTTTGAAATTATTTTATTTATTTAGTTTTGGCTTTGCTGGGTCTTCATTGCTGGGCGGGCTTTTCTCTAGTTGCAGAGAATGGGGGCTACTCTCGAGTTGCGGAGCGTGGGCTTCTCATTGCAGTGGTGTCTCTTGCTTCAGAGCATGGGCTCAAGGGTGCTCAGGCTTCAGCAATTGCAGCATATGTGCTCAGTAGTTGCATTTCCTGGGTTCTAGAGCACAGACTCAATAGTGCTGGCGTATGGGCATCGTTGCTCCACTTCATGTGGGGTCTTCCCACATCAGGGATTGAACCCATGTCTCCTCTTTTGGCAGGTGGACTGTTTACCACTGAGCTACCAGGGAAGCTCCCAAACTTAATTTTTTTCTCTGGCTGCTTGATCTCTTTGAAGCATCTGACAGCATTGACTATAGACTATCCACTAGGCCCTGGAAATCTCTTCCCTCAGCTTCATTCACATCATCTCCCATTAGATTTCTCATTTCCTGTCTTATTTTATTAAGTGCAGTCGCCAGAACCTAAATCTATCCATTGAATTTAGAATCCTACTCTGTACAAGTGAAAAAATAGAATATAGGAAACAACTGTACTCAGTCTTTGGAAAACAGACGGCACAAGACTGATTCTTCTGAAACCAGAAAAGAATGGGGGCAAATCTGTACACAGTGAGGAGGGATGATGTGAAGAGCGAACCTGACACTGGGAAAGATTGAAGGGGACGACAGAGGATGAGATGGTTGGATGGCATCACCGACTTGATGGGCATGAGTTTGAGTAGACTCCAGGAGTTGGTGATGGACAGGGAGGCCTGGCGTGCTGCAGCCCATGGGGTCACAAAGAGTCAGACACATAACAAGTGTGAGGGGAAAAACAGAGAAGGTAAATGTTGTGATGAGACAGAGGTTAGAAGATAGAGGGAACCAAAGCAACTACAGTTTAGGAGGAAGACTACCAGAGAGGAAGAAGCTACGCAAAAAACTCCAGAAACCTTTGTTTTGATTCAGGGGTAGTCTGTGTCTCTGTAGAACGGAACTAACAAACATTAGAGAGAAAGCACAGAAAAGATTCACCAATACTTCCAGAATGGCCATGCTTTTGTCGTGGGACAAAATGAGGCTCAAGCTGGGGTTGGCAAATTATAACCCAGGGCCTGGCCACCTGTTTATGTGAACAGCTGTTCTGGGGTAAGAAGCACTTCTAGGATGACAGCATGAGGAAGCTCTGAACACCTGATTTCCAAAGAAAATGGCATGATGTCCAAACAGTTAGAAACAAGCGTTTGCAGCCTCTGAAAACTGTCCCAAGAGCATACAGCAAATGGAGAAACAGTTACTCTAGAAAATCTTCTAAATCTTGGGAGAAGCCATGTGAGTCGGCGGCACTGAGCCATGACTCTTGCCCTGTTGCTCTGTGATAGAAGCTCTAGTTCATGGGGCTGTGGTCCAGAGCACAGGGGTCCCCGAGTTTCTCCTGGAGAGGGGCCAGCTGCCAACTGTGCTCCTCCCCTCCAGACCTGCGGTGCAGAAACTCTGTTCCTGGCAGTCCAGCCCAGAGGTCTATGTTCCCTCCTTCCACCAGCACCTATTCAAAGGGCGGACTCTGTTCCAGAAATAACAGGCCAAGAACAAAAGGCCCCAGTCTCCTTCTTTCTGACTTGCCCATAGGGTGGAGGTTCCATTCTGGGGGGCACGGGGCAAGTCAAGAAGACACCCCCCCCAGGGACCCACTTAGAGAGCAGAGGGTGTCATTCCACGAGAAGCGAGCCACTGTCCCTGCCCCCGTGGTGAGTGGCAGGCCATGACGACACAGAGCTTCAGAGCTCTACTGTGACTTAAAGAAGGGCAGCCAAAGCCCTATGCTTCTTCCTTCCTCGCTTCCTTCCTCTCTTTTTCTCCCCTTCCTCCTTTCTTCCTTCCCTCTCTCCTTACAAGGTCAGATCTGCCTCCCAGTCAGATGGCCTCCCCAGCCTCCTTGGCTTCCTCCCCATTTCTCTTCAACAGGCATTTTCTCTAAAAAAATATTGTTTCTAGAACTAATCTTGTACATCAGTTTAGTGGAGCATCTTTTCTTAACTATACACACAACGTAGTTTAGAATGTGTCCGTATGGAGGACAGTGTTGAGAGATGAATAACCTTCATTACAGGCTCTTAGCTTCTGAAACAGTTCGTATCACTCCCCTCCCCACTTTTTCTTATCTTTCGTTCCTTAATTTTCTTTCTTTGGCTTGTATCATCTTTCCACCTTTCACTTGGGCCTGAAATGAGATGAGCCTGTGGTTTTCGCTTCTCTCCTCCTTTTATTCAAGAGGAGGTGGAATATTTGGGGAAGGAAAGGGGGCTCTCATCTGCTGCCTCCCTGGTGGAATTCTTTGGCCATTGCACTCAAGATGAGTCAGTTTTCTAGACTGTACCATGGAGCCATAAAATGTGAGCTGCCTTAGATTAATCAAGGCCCAACACTGGGTTAAGAAAGAGGGAAGTAGAACATGGAAGTTAGATGGTGGGTGGCTCAGATGCCAGTTTTCAGCTTCTCTGATTTTTACCTAACATCACCAGAACTGGATCTAGGGCAGTACTTCTTGGTCTCTTGATTAAAGACTTGGACACCTGTGATATTGGTGCCTATATGCAGTGATGTAATACATTGCATAGTAAGAATATCTGTGTCCTTCAGCATTAAAACATGGACACAGCATTAAAACATTCTCATCTTCTGAATCAGGCATCTCACAGCTAGCAGATGCCTATTCCTTTCTGCACTGATGAACTTTAGTCACTCATGCATCCACTTATTTAATCAGTCACCGTAAATATTTCAACCTAGTAAAGGACATAAGACACATACTGGCTTTCAGAAAGCTGTTCATAGTAGAGTGCAGAAATCCCTTTTGTTTCAAACAAATTGTGGTGTTTGGTATTTTTATTAATATTAAAAAGTTAGGGCAAACTCTAGTAATTTTAATACATCTTCCACAGTGCTGCTTCTCAGTTTTGACATGAGACCTATTTGTGCCACTTAAATGCTTCATAGATGGAATTACACCAGGAAAAATTGATAGAGGCACTGTGCATAATGCATGTCCCAGGCAATACACGTGTCTTCAAATCTGGCACAAATTTTTAGCAGTTCTAATTTTCCCCAGGCTTCCCTGGTGGCTCAGTTGGTAAAGAATCTGCCTGCAATGCAGGAGACCCAGTTTAGTGCAGGAGACCTGGGTTCTATCCCTAGGTTGGGAAGAGGAGAAAGAAATGCACTCCAGCATTCTTGCCAGGGAAATCCCATGGACAGAGGAGTCTGTTGGGCTACAGTCCATGGGGTTGCAAGAGTCAGACACGACTTAGCAACTAGACCATCCCATTCAATTTTCCCTACTTGATAAGAAAACAGTGAGACTGCATTCACATGCTTAGGAGGGCAGTTTCCTCTAATGGCGAGAATTCAGGGGAATGGTGCTACCTCTTGCCTGGGTCTGTCCTTAAACATGTTTCTGAGTCAACCACTCGGACTTTAAAAGAAACAACCAAGAAAAAAGGTTCTATTACTCTACCGAAGAGAACAGAAGGGGTGATCCAAGGAAATTACCACCAGTTGAATGTCTGGTGAGAGTAACCACTTTTCCACTACTGGCATAACTGTCAATGGCTTTTGTAGGTTTAGATCCAACTTCTATCTACAGAGGAGATAATGACAGCCTTAAACCACTTCCTCTCGTGGTTCCCAGAGGGGAGGCAGGTCTAGAGGGGACTCGGCTCTGGGAAGCAGAGGTTTATGAACAGAGGGGAGGGAAGGCTTCAGCTCTGTGTCTCTGCTGCTGGCACAGAGATACACAGCTGAGTCCCCCAGGCCTGCCGAGCGGATGTCAAGAGAACAGAAAGAGGTGTTAGGCTGGCTGGACTGGAAGTTTTCAGAGGTATTTTTTTCCCTGGTGATTTGTCTATCATAGTAGTACAATAGCAGTTTTGGTGCTTGGCTTGGCTTCTGTTGGTACCAGTACATGATATCGTGCTTCATATTCTGAGAACAGCTCAGGTTCACTGGTTTTCTCATCCCGGTAACCAGGTATCTTGGGTTCTGAATGACCAGGGCCCCCACGTGACCTGCGGAGGAGGAGGAAGGTTTAGAGACGGAGTGCAGAAGGAGAGTCATGCTGTTGCCGTAAACGAAAGGCACAGAACTGGGGACAAGCTTTAGAGATGTCCTTTCTGACCAGGACTTACCTGCTCCCAGGAGACACAGGGCCACGCAGAGAAGAAGCCTGGGCGCCATGGCAGGGCTGGGACAGGAAGGAGACCTCCGTTCCAGACTCTGGTCTCTGGGTTGAGAGACAGACAGGCAGTCTGCCTGTGACGTCAATGTCACCAGCACAAGGACACCCTCACTGATAATGTACACAGCTTCCTGCTTGACAGGGGCATCTGGGCTTGGCTGGATCAGGTATAGAGTAAAGGTGATGTTCCCTTATCTGCCCCTGTTCCTACATCTGCCCCATTTCATCCTGGCCTCTCCATCTCCTCATTTCTTTTTTCCTATAGGATAGTTCAGAGGTTCCTCAGCACGTGAATGTGTGTGCTGTGCTAAGTCATGCAGTCATGTCTGACTCTGTGACTCTGTGGACTCTAGCTCACCAGGCTGTTCTGTCCATGGGGTTCTCCAGGCAAGGTACTGGCGTGGGTAGCCACTTCCTTCTCCAGAGGATCTTCCCAACCCAGGGATCGATCCTGCATCTCTTGCATCTCCTACGCTGACAGGTAGGTTCTTTACCAGTAGCAACCTGGGAAGCCCCCAACATGTGAATAGCTTTTGCTGAAGTCTTGTTGAGATAATGTCTGTGTTTTGCCCTCCTCATCACAGATGGGTGACTGGTGCTTGCAAACTCTCTTCTCCTCACCATGCAGAAACCAGGTCCTGGAATCCATTTATGACCACTTTTCAGAGAGCACCAAAGAAATATGTACACCTTTTAGCCATCAGTGATAAAAGAATGCCTCCTTATGGCCAGTAGAAGTGTGCCTAGAAGCTGCCTTCCTACAACTGGTCCGAGCAAATGTGGGCGAAGGGTGAAGGTGAGTCACGTCAGGGCTTAGAGATGTATCCTGTCCCTCATTCTGCAGGAATGCAGTCCCATGACTGCATCTGGAAGGATCAGGCCGCCACACCAGTGAACTAACCTCACCAAGATGCTGGAGCCCTACTGCAGCCACTCGACCCGACCTCACAAATGGTTGGGAGGGGCTGACACACATTAACATTTACCACTAACCCGTGCTTCTTACATTAGAAAAATCAGACCCTGCAGATAAAGAAAAATTATCCTGATGATAATTGATCTGCTTATTCCACTCAAAAACGAACTTTTTAAAATATCTGCTAATGGATGTGTGCTAGACAAATGTAACTTAAACTTATCATCTCCTTTATCAGGGAGCAAACTAAAAGAGTAAATGCATTTTGAGTCTCGATTTTTATTTCTATCAGGGACACTTTTGTATGATGTAATAAGGGATATAAAGATGTGGCTACAATCAGCATCAAAATTCTTTTTGGATCAGAGCACCAAGGTAGGCAAGAAACCCACTGTGTTTTACATCAGGATAACACACACACACACACACAAGTCGATTTGCATATGGATTGGGAGTTTGGGACTAGCAGGTGCAAACTAGTATGTATAGAATGGATAGACAAAAAGACCCACTATACAGCACAGGAAACTTTATTAAATATCCTATGATGAAGCATAATGGAAAGAATATGAAAAAGAATGTATATGTATATGTGTGTGTGTGTAACTTGAGTCACTGCTGTACAATAGAAATTAACACAACATTGCAAATCATCTATATTTCAATAAGATAAATTAAAGCAAATAGATTTGCATAGATTGACTTCTGTATGAGGAACCCCAGGAGTCTCCCAAGTCGCAGATATCCCCAGTTAAATTTTTTAAAAATACTCTTGAGTTTCAATGGTTAATTCCAGTTCTTCCCCTCCTCTCTTCCTTTGGGAGGCGGCACAGAGAAAGACTTCTGTTCAGGGCTGCCTGACTTGAGAGGAGCGGATAGGATGTGGTTTTGCACAGCAAGGACAGAACTCTGAAGCGCTGTGTCTCGGCTGCTGGCACAGAAATAAACTCCCGAGTCACCCAGTTCTGCAGAGTGGATCCTCAGCGTAGAAGACGTCCCTTCCGTCCTTTCTGCTGTGAATCGGCCTTTGGGCATCCCCGAGTCGTCCTGCACAGACTCTCTTATGAAGTAAATCAGAAGCTTCATTTCTTTCCCCACAGCATGGTAGTACCAAAAGAGAGAATCATGTCCAGAAATAGGGTCACAGCTCAGATTCACAGCCTGCTTCTTCTCTATGACCCTGTGGCTGGGGAACTGGGCAACTTCAGCTGATATGTACCCTGCAGGAGAAGACAAGAACATACGTGACCGGGATAGACAGGAAAAGGGCCCCGTGTAGACGTTCGTGTTTCTGAAGGCTCACTTGCTCCCAGGAGACACAGTGACGCTAAGCGGAGAAGACTGGAGAGCATGGCAGGATCCAGAGGAAGATGAGAGCTTTTCCGGATGAGGGAACTTGCGTGTGGGAGCAGAAATGAAAGCAGATCCATGTCCCAGGGTCCCTATACGGTGTGGGCTGGCACTGACATCACCCTGTGAGCAGGCGTCCATGGTCTCAGTGGCTCCCTCTAGGGAAACAGAAGCATAGAAGAAAGAGCATGCTTATTTTTCCCCAAAAAAGGCTGCCTTTGAACGGTGATCAGGAAAACCTGAGATCAAAAAAACTGGCCTGTTTAATGCATTTAACTAGGTATTGACCTCGTATGGGTTCGACCTTTGCCTCTGTGGTTACCTTGCTACTTCCTCTTCTATTTGTATCAAATCTCCTATGCCTCCCTCTAATAAAGATATACACGGTATTATTAAGGCCCAGTTGGATAATCCCAGATAAATGCCCCTTCTCAAAGTCTTAACTGAATCACATCTATAAAGTCCATTTTTGTCACAACATCCACAGGTTCCAGGGATGAATATATGGGCATCTTTGGGACGGTGGGGTGGGCCGGAGGTCATTATTCAGCCTGCCACACAATACAAAATGTTCTGCTCATCAGTTGGGGAATTTTTATGGGTGTCATTTCCCCATAATACTAAATGAATCAACTTGAGCCCTTTGTATATAAATCTGCAACACATTCTCTTCACTGTTAGGCTTCAGTGTTTGTCAGCTCGTAGCAGCTGGTGATGGCGGAGTCAGTGACCCCAGTGTGCGTGGCAGCTGTGTGCGGAGGGGACAGAAGGGGCGCCTCAGAGAAGCAGGGGGGCCAGCCCTGGTGGTGGACTTCCACATTGCAGGCTTCTGCTGGGCCTACATTGCCCTGCCCGATGTTCAGAAAGCACTGGAGCACTCAGCAGCAGCTGAGTCTGGATCTGTCTGAGTGCTCTGAGCCTGGGGAACAAGGACAATTAACAGCAGCATCACTTGTTGGTTTAGCAGGGACTCTGGAGATTCAACACTGGAGAACTTATTTCCCATGAGTTGTAAAGACATTATGGTTCCTCTCCACCTTTCACCCAACTTCCCCTGTTGTAAACATCATTCATAAGCATGATTCTTTGCTCAGAACCAAGGATTTAACATATGCACAAGTCAGCTACAGGCTAAACTCAGATTTCCCACTTTTTTCTACTGTTCTGTTCCAGGATCTAATCCAGGACACCACAGAACATTTAGATGACCTGTCTTCTTAGATTCCTTCAAGCTATGAGGGTTTCTTAGTCTTTTCTTGTTGTGAATGATTTTGACACTTTTGAGAATCGTGTGTGCATGCTCAGTTGCTCAGTCATGTCCAACTCTGTGCGACTCTATGGACTGTAGCCCACCAGGCTCCTCTGTCCATGGGATTCTCCAAGAAAGAATGCTAGATTGGATTGCCACGCCCTGCTCCAGGGGATCTTCCCAACTTAGGGATCAAACCCACGACTCTTATGTCTTCTGCATTGGCAAGCAGGTTCTTTACCAGTAGCCCCACCTGGGAAGCCCTTTTGAGGATCACCAGTCAAGTATTTTGTAGAAGCTCTTTCAAACTGAGTTTATCTGATGGTTATATAATTACTTGAAAGCCCAGTGGGTGAGATTTACCCTTAGCCTTGGACTGTCAGGAGGAGGAGAAGGGGATTACGGAGGACAAAATTGTTGGATGGCATCACTGAATCAATGGACATGAGTTTGTGCAAGCTCCGGGATGTGGTGAAGGACAGGGAAGCAGGGCGTGCTACAGTCCATGGGGTTGCAGAGAGTCAGACATGACTGAGTGATCAAACAACAACAACAAATGGACTGTCAGTGTCTGTGGGAAATGTGTGAGAAATGCCAGAAACCAAGCTCTCTACTGCCTTCCCCTCACATGTTTCCTAATGTGATGGGTTGTTTCATTCTGTTCTTGCCTTCCCTAGGATCATTAGAACACTGAGGCGCTGGACTGCTAGGGGAGGAGTCTAGGAAGACAACTGATGACGCCAGGGGCTGAGCCGGAAGGGGAAGCAGAGGTTTTCTGCTCAGGAAGGGGCGATTCTGCAGCACTGTGTCTTTGCTGCTGGCACAGAGGTACGTGGCCGAGTCCCCAGGATCTGTGGACTGGATCTTCAGAGTGGAGAGCGACGCATTAGGCATCTTAGCTGAGAATTGGTCCTTGGGCATCCCCGACTCATCCACAGGCTCTTGGTTGTTGAAATAAATCAGCAACTCCAGTCCTCGCACTGAGGTCTGTCTATACCAATAAAGGGCAGTGTGGCTTTTAATCGGCTCACAGCTCAAAGTGACTGCCTGTCCCTTTTCTGTTAACTCATGCCTAGGGGTCTGGGTGACTCCAGCATCTGTGGGCCCTGTGGAGAGGGACAGAGTTTGGGGACAGAATAAGAAGCATAATTGGAATCATAATGGGAAATATCCAAGAATGCAGATTATTTCTGGGGATGTACCTACTCCCAGGAGACACAGGGCCACACAGCAGAGGAGCATGGTGGCCATGGCGATGCCAGCAGGAGGATGCTTCACCCAGATGGGGCTCTCGTGGGTGTGAACAGAAAGGTGGGGCTTCTGAGTCCTCCGCAAGGCGGAGAGGGACCGGGCAGGAACACAACACTCTGACCCTGCTCAGGGGACCTCCTTTCAAAGGTGAGCGTTCACTCTCTGCAAAAGACCGACTGAACAGGTTCCAACTCTTGTAGGGTGTACTGGCTCATTCACAGACCCTCCAAGCACCTTCTCCAGCGGCCGCCTCTCCCAGCCCTGGTGTTCCCACCCCTCTGGCCTTCTCCGATGTGTCATATGTCAACGGTCCATTAAATGTTTCTGCTTAAATGTACCACCAGCACCACAAATTCCAGACATCAGTAAATTACTCTTTACATATTAAGACTGTCAACATGCCTCTTGCTGGCATTCCCTATCACCTGGATATAGAAAATCAAAATAAATCCTTGCCAAGTTAGAGCTTTGCCACAGATTCCTCCCAAAGCCTTTGTACTTGTCCACTGTGCTCATCTCTAAGGGGCATAAATGGAAGCCCTGGAAAGAGACTGGCTTGTGAAGATTTTATTCCCAGCAAAAGCTAGAGACCAATGCCCTTATGCTGCATAATCCCCAGCCCGCAGCACAAGGCCTCTGTATGTCTGCACCTTTTCCATGAAGGGGCTCCATCTTACCTCATAAAAAGAAAGAGAATGTGTTAGTCACTCAGTCATGTCCGACTCTTTGCAACTCCGTGGACTATAGCCTGCTAAGCTCCTCTGTCTATGGAATTCTCCAGGCAAGAATACTAGAGTGGGTTGCCATTTCCTTCTCCAGGGGTTCTTCCCAACCCAGGGATCGAACCTGGGTCTCCTGCATTGCAGGCAGTTTCTTTACTTTCTGAGACACCAGGGAAGCCATCTTACCTCTGTGGTGAACCTCAGAATTGCCTTAATCCTGCAGGTCCTCATGTGGGTTGTGCAGGAAAAATGAGGGCTTTGACCTTCTTTGAGGAACTGTAATAAAGCACTCTCAGTTCATTCTAACCCTCTTCAACCCCTAGCAAAGCTCTAAAAGCTTCTTTGATGGTTAACACTTGACTCTCCTTGTACTAAGGCAACCAATACTCATAAATGAACTCTTTCTGGTGGTGAGGATGAGACTCTGGAAAATGACCCAGTTCTTGGGGGTATGGAGAGTAGTAAGATTTCTGTTTACAGAGGGAATGGAAAACATTAGTTCCATGTCTTGGCTGTTGGCACAGAGACACATTCCTCAACTCCCCAAACTTGGGAGTCTGTCAAGAGACAGAGAGAAACATATGACTGACTACTTGGAAATATTATGATAGTGAAACTTTCTTAGTTTTATAGAATCAGCAGTGCCCACTCCCTGGTCCAGTGTTTACTTGCTTCAGGAGAGCATCTTGCAACCTGAGGTTGAAGAATGCAGAGCTGGACACAGGATTTTTGTTGCTGTTGCTTAGTTGCAAAGTCATATCTGACTCTTGCAATCCCTTGGACTGAAGCCTGCCAGGCTCCTCTGTCCATGGGATTTCCCAAGAAGAATATTGAGTGGGTTGCCATTTCCTTCTCCAGGGGATCTTCCCAATTCAGGGATCAAACCCATGTCTCCTGCATTGACAGGCAGATTCTTTAGGAGGGGCAATAACAGCAGAGACAAATAGAAAACATTGCAAATCAGGACACAGCGTTCAGCATGTGAGTTTTCTGACTCCTATCCAGGACTTATCTTCTATAGAATACAAAATGTTGTGAAACAGAGAAGTTGTGAGACTACAACAAGTTCAGAATATGAGTGAGCCAGTTACCTCTTAAGTGCTCCAATCTCTAGTGGAGAGAAAAATCAGTCTTAGGGCCACCCCAGGCCCTGGTACATTTTCTGCTTATACAGACGTACTTTTGGACTTCTGAAGGCTTGGGGCCCTTCTAACTCAGAACATTGTCAAGCTGTCCTCCTTGGGGCCCTGCCGTAAAGGCCCCCAACAGTGGTAGGATGGGACCAGGCTGGGTTTAAAGGGAAGCCCATTCCAACAGCTTCTCTTATGTCCTGACACAGGAACTGTTATGCTTTCCTTCTATCAGGACACAAAAATTTACCAACCATCTCCTTCTCCTCCCACATCTTGACAGGCTCAAGAGGTGCCCCTCTGGAGCAGAGAGAAATGACCTTGGGGACTTATTTTCTAAATTTTTTCAGTAATTTAGCAGAGAGCTGGCTCGATGATCTGCATTAGCTTATGGAAAAACAAGATCTTCCTTTCCATTAAGGCCATTTCTTTAACCATGAAGGGGACATCTCTTAAAGTCACCGAGATGTCCCCTACTCAGCCCTCTCATTCCACAGAATACTTGCAGTATCATGAGG